TTTTTCAATTTAATTTATAATAATATTCATAACTGTCAAAAGATCTTTGCAGGCTGGACATGGTGGCTCATGCCTGTAATCCCAACACTTTTGGGAGGCTGATGCGGGAAGATTGCTTCAGGCCAGGAGTTTCAGACTAGCCTGAGCAAGAGCGAAACCCCCCATCTCTACAAAAAATAGAAAAATTAGTCAGGCATGGTGGCATGCACCTGTAGTGTCAGGTACTCAGGAGGCTGAGGCAGGAGTGTCATTTGAGCCCAGGAGTTTGAAGTTGCAGTGAGCTATAACGATGCCACTGTACTCTAGCCCCAGCAACAGAGTGAGACCCTATCTCCAAAAAAAGAAAAACAAAAAAAAATCTTTGTAGCATTTGTAATGTTTAAACTTTAAAACATCACACTTATGTGGTAAATATAATAAAAAGAAAAATTTGTGATCAGTTTTTAAAGGTAAATATTCATAGCTTATGATAATTATTACAAGAGTAGCTATTTTTTACTGAGCTTTTATTATTACATGCTGGGCTCTATTCTAAATTCTATTTAATTGGAGCGTGTGTTAATACTCACAACAATCCCATTTTACAGTTGAGGAACCTGAAGCAAAGAGAAGTTAAGCAATGCATCCAAAGTCACATAATTAGGAAGTAGCAGAGCCAGGATTCAAACCTAGGCAGTATGCCTTGAGAGCAGGATTTCTCAGTCCTGAAACTATTGACATTGTCGGTTAGATAACTCCTTGTTGTTGGGGGTCTTCCTGTGCATTGCAGGATGTTTAGCAACATCTTGGCCTCTACACACTAGGTGCCAGTAGCACCCTCCCAGTTATGACAACCAAAATTGTCTCCAGACATTGCCAAATGTCCGCTGGGGAGCAAAAAACACTTGGCTGAAAACACTTCTAGAGATTGTGCTCTTGACTATTACAATACACTGCTGCTTACAGAGACTTAAATTCTGCAGGCTAAATATTTAAATTGTACACAACCATGTAATGTAATCCTAATCTATAATACACTTGTTTCTATATGGTATTTACAGATTGTTTTCTCTCACACTGGCAGCCTGAGCTATTAACATAATTTCAAACAATAATAATAATAATACCAAACACATCAATGAAAAGATGACTACCTCAGAATAATCTTTCAGAGATTAGAAATATGTGGCTAGTAGCTTCACTAGGGGGAAATATCACATTAGTAAAAAGCTAAATTGAGAGAGGTCTGACTATATAATTAAGGGTCCATCTAGTTTTAAAATTCCAAGTTTTTGCCTTCGATAAGGATGACTCATAAAGAAAAAAAAATCCAACTTTTATTTCCTTCAGACCTAAAGAATGCCACCTAGTATGCCAAGATGTTAAGAATTCCTTTACCCTATTCCCTATTCATATCTATATTCATATAACTCAATTTTAAGGAAAACTTTAACTCACCATTTACTCTTAATACTGCTTGGAACTGGTATTCTTCAAATAGAATTTCATTCATTGATTCTTGAATTGAAGTGAAGTTAAAATATGGTTCCGTGATAATAATATTAGTATCCAAAAAATCAACCTATGGGAGAAAAAAATTCCAAAAGTTTTGTAATTTGTTGTGATACTTATCAACACTTATATTATAAATAAAACTATTTAATCTTCACAATAATTCTAAGGAGATAAGTCTTATTATTATCCTCACTTAATAGACAATCAAACCAAGGCGTAGAAAAGTTGAATAAGTTACCAAGGTTCATATACTT